TGAACTACTCAGTGGTATGCTCTGAAGGGTGAGGGTTCAAGCCCCAACTCAAGTGCCAAACCTTTGGCTGATATTCCCAGTTCAGCACAGTGCTACATTATCAGATATAACGCTCTTCAAATGAGGGGCTCATTTGAGAGCCAATCTGCCCTTCAATGTGCATGTCAATGATCCCATGCTATCTTCGGCATTATTCATCTCCCAATCAACATTCCTAAACAACAATGTGCACTTATTTAGTGCCATTAATGCAGCAAAATTCCTTAATCCAAATAATAATAGAGCTTCCAGTAATGATAAAAATTTGGCACCACGACATACAAAGTATTTGGATAGATGATCAAAGATTTGGTCTAAGGGGTAGGTTATAAGAAGCATCTTAAAGGATGATGTGGAGGTGCTGGTATTGGGCTGGGATGGACAAAGTCAGAAGTTACACAATTATCTATCCATTATCTCTCCGCCTATAAATTCTGTGTCTGTGCGCTTCCCTCCACTTCATCTGATGAAGGAGCAGCGCTCCTTAAGCTTCTAATTTCAAATAAATCTGGTGTCGTGTGTTTTCTGACTTCATCTTAAAGGAGAGGAGGAACCTGAAAGGAAGCATGGGAGTTTAGGGTCAAGGAAACGGAAAGCACAGCCATGAATGACAGAATTATACAAAGGGGAGGACTGTAAGATGCAAAATCAGAGACTACAAGTCAGTGCGTCCCAAAGTGGAGGGGTCAGGACCCCTGATGGGGTTGCAAGCTTAGATTTGGGAATCACAATCTCCAAGGCTGCAATAGCTGGTGCAGAGCTCGCACAGCTCCCAACATTCCCCCTCCCCTCCTCGCTCCCGCAATGCTACCCTCCAAACTTCCCTCCCCTTTCCCTCCCCCCACCCATAACCTTTCCCTCACCCCTTAACCCTCCTACAATTCTCTCCAGCCCCCCAACTCTCACCTCCTCCTCTCCCAGCTCCCTTATCCCTCCCACCACCCCCTCAAACCACTTCCAACACTCCCTTCCCTGGGCCCCCACCCTCATCTTCTCACATGTACTCACCCTGCTGCCTGCTATCAAGATTCTTGTATTACGTTTCCTGACCAGTCACTCATACCCCACCCAGCGCTCTTAGTGTTCTCACTGCAGAATCTCAAAATTCTTCGAGCCTGGAAATGGGATCACAGTGGGGAAAAACTTTGTGAAGGCAACCTGGTCATTATCACATTGCTGTTGGAGGGGCTTGCTGTGCACAAATTAGCTGCTGTGTTGCTGACATTACAACAGGGACAACCCATCAGAAAGGAAAAGAGCTTTGTGACATCTTGCAGTTGCAAAGAGCGCCATACAAATGCACATCTTTCTTTCCTACTGAAGATATCTTATGTCCTTATTAAGGAAGGATATTATTTAATTGGAGAAGGTGCAGAAAAGAATTACAAGGATGTTACCAGGACTGGAGAGTTTGTGTTATAGGGAGAGACTGGATAAGCTGGGACTTTTTTCACTGAAATGTTGGAGGTTGAGGGGTGATCTTATAGAGGTTTATAAAATCATGAGGGGCATAAATAAGATGAATAGCAAAGTTTTTTTTCCCTAAGGTGGGGTAGTTCAAAACTAGACGGCATTGTTTTAAGGTGGGAGGAGGAAGATTTAAAAGGGACCTGAGGGACAATTATTTCACATAGTGGTATGTATGTGGAATGAACTGCCAGAGGAAGTGGTAGATGCAGGTGTAGTTACAATATTTAAAAGACATTTGGACAGGTACATTAAAATGAACCGTTTAGAGGGATATGGGCCAATGCAGGCAAATGGGTCTAGATTAGTTTGGGAAACTAGGTCGGCATGGACAAATTGGGCCGAAGGGTCTGACTCCATGAATGCATTAAAGTTTTGACTTTTTTTAAGAATTCCTGGGAACTTGGGAAACCTATAGTTCATTGTTGCTATTTTCCATGGCAATGTCTTGGTCAATTAACTTGCCAGCCAACAGCACTCTTTTCTCATGTGGTATATTGTTGTGATCATTTGAAATTTGGCATTCTTGCATTTGTCCTGATGCGTACAAGATATTTGCGTAACACGTATCTCTATTTAGCAACAACTAATCAAGAATTATGTTCTAATTGAAGCTTTTTATTGGTTTACTTCATGCAGGGGATGTCATGCACCAGAAAGTTTGCTCGGCAATGATTAATTATTCTCAGCTATTTCTATAGTGCTGGATTGCAAGTTCTGACAAGTGCTCATCTGTTATTACTGAATGTCTAGATATAGTACATCACAGGGGAGTGATTATTCTCTACCATAAGTGTTTGAGAAATATGACTTTATTGCCCATGATAGTTACTCTGGTATAGTTATCCTAACATTGTTCATTATGCCACTAGCTGTGGGACTATCAAAAGGACAGTGAATCATTTTATGGCATTACAGACTTTCGGTGAAGTATTCATTCTTATTCACTGCAAGGTGAGACTCCAAGACATACACACAATTTCAAATGAAGCTGTTGGCACTTTCCATTTTGCCCTTCCTGTATTTTTGCAATCTTCTTCCTCTTTGGGATTTTTGTAGGTGATAGTTAATGACCCCTCCATTGGTGACATGTCCATCCTTGGCCTTCTCCACTATCAGAGTGAGGCCAAATGTAAACTGGAGGAACAACACCTCATATTTCGCCCTGGGAGCTTACAGCCCAAAGGCCTGAATATTGACTTCACCAGCTTCAAAATCTTTCCACCCCACCAACCGTTCATCTACCAACTCATCTATCCACTTCACCTTTCGTGCCGACCAACCACAATAACCCCCACACCTGCATCCACCTATCTCCATCTCAGCTACCCTCACCCCAGCCTCAACCCGTCCCTCTATTTATTTCTGGGGTCCCGTCCCCCTCCCCAGTCTAGATGAAGGATTTCAGCTGGAAACATTGACTTCCCTGCTCCTCAGATGCTGTCTGACCTGCTGTGCTTTTCCAGCTCCACATTTACTGATTCTAGTTTCCAGCATCTGCGGTCTGTACTGTCTCCAAATTAATGACTAAAGCCAGTGTAAAGTGCTGCACAGCGTTAAGTACCAATATTTTTGGATACGATAAGTAAGTCTGTCCATCCTCCCAGTTTGAAGGAAAAGAAATGATCCTGCAGTGCTAGTCTGATACCAGTCTGAGACTGGTGCCTGCTAGCAATATCAACTATAAGTTATACTGTCAAGGCTGTTTTCATCAATCAGAGATATAATGGTTTGCGTCCTTCAAGATAGATTATTTTTCTATTTGAGCGATTAGTAATTAGTCACTTGGTCATACAAAACTTGAACATTGCTGAAAGCAGAGATGTGTTGCCAGTCATTTTTTTCATGCCTTTTATCCTGCAATCATCAGGAAAAATTGCAAGAAATGCTACATTTTGAAGGATTGTTACAACTTACTACAGAAGAGAAGGATGCTGAACAATCCCAAGTACGCTAATAGCTACATTGTCAACTAGTTTTAGATAATCAGTCAAGCTTGTAATGTGCTCTTTCTGCGAGTGACATACTGTCATTCAGAAGGACTTGTTCTCTGCAAGCAAATGGGATAGGGTAGAGTCTTGATTCTTCTTCTGAATTGCTGGGAACCTGGGGAGCCTATCGTTCACTTTTGCTTTCTTCTATGACAATGACTTGGTCAATTAACTTACCAGCCAATCAGCACTCTTTTGTCCTGTGGTACAAATTATTGTGATCATGCGAAATTTAGCATTCTTGCATTTGTCCTGATGAGCGCTGTAAAACTTGAAAGGGTTCAGAACACATTTGCAAGGATGTTGCCAGGGTTGGAGGGTTTGAACTATAGGGGGAGGCTGAATAGACTGGGGCTATTTTCCCTGGAGTGTCGGAGGCTGAGGGATGACCTTATAGCAGTTTATAAAATCATGAGGGACATAGATAAGGCGAATAGTCGACATCTTTTCTCTGGGATTTGGGGGGGGTGGTGGGAGTCCAAAACTAGAGGGCATAGGTTTAAGGCGAGAGGAAAATGATTTAAAAGGGGCCCAAGGGGCAACTTTTTCATATAGAGGGTGGTGCGTGCATGGAATGAACTGTCAGAGGCTGGTATAGTTACAACATTGAGAAGGCATCTGAATTGGTTTATAAAAAGGAAGGGTTTAGAGGGATATGGGCCAAATGCTGGCAAATGAAACTAGATTAATTTAGGATATCTGGTTCGCATGGACAAGTTGGACTGAAAAGTCTGTTTCCACGCTGTACAGCTCTATGATTCTATGTCTCTATGTTTCTCTTTTCACCAATGACTAATTAGGAATTATGTTCTAATTAAAGCTTTTCTTTTTGGTTTACTTCATGTAGGGAATATCATGCAACTGAAAATTTTGCTCTAAAATGATTAATTGTTGGAATTGATGATGGTTTAATGGCCATCATAGAACCAAGGTTAAAAGCATTCAGAGAGACACCACTGAGCCAAAGTCAGGAGATTAAAACATGAAACATTTAGAAAGAAGGAAAGCCAAAAGGTGATGAAGAATTTCAACTGTGGGAAAGAATGAACAAGAATTAATAGACATTAGGACGAGCTTTCAACAACAACTGCCATTTGTAAAGCAGCTTTGACCTAGAAAACCATTATTAGACAAAAACGTGTCATACAAGGGATGGGTTTGGAGAACTGCATTAAAATGGTCAGAAGTCAGACGACACCAGGCTATAGTCCAACAGGCTTATTTGAAATCACTAGCTTGATAAGCTTCGCCTGACGAAGGAGCAGCACTCCAAAAGCTTGTGATTTCAAACAACCCTGTTGGACTATAACCTGGCATGGTCTGACTTCTGACCTTGCCCACTCCAGTCCAACACCAGCTCCTCCGCATTAAAATGAGGAAGGAGAACTGGAGAGGTTTGGGGAAGGAGTTTCAGAAGTTAGGGCCCAAGAAGCCACAAATAGTGGAGCTATTAATATGTAACGGAATGTTAACACAGGTAAAGCTGTTTTCAATCAATGTTACCTCGGAGGCAATGAGACGGAGAACGAGACCAACAGTGGGAGTGGTGTTGGATATTGTTCTCAAGTTGTTGCCCTGTAGAGACAGAAAATAAACAACGAGACTTTTCATTACTTGCTACTGTAAAGGAATGGATGAGTCTGGGTAAAAGGAACAGATTTGATTAGCTCTTTCAAATAAATATTTAATACCGGGTCAGACTCTAGAATTGAAAGTTAGTCTCAGTGATGGTGACTATAAAATTATCATCAAATGTCGTAAAATCCCCTCTCGTTCACTAATGCCCTTTAGGGAAGGAAATCTGGCATCCTTACCTGGTCTGGCCTACACGTGATGCCAGTCCCACACCAATGTGACTAATTATTAACTACCCTCTTAAATGGCTATTGCAAGCCGATCAGTTCAGGGGTATTAGGGATGGGTAGTAGATGCTATCCTTGCCAGTAACACTTACATCTCGTAAAGGCTTAAAGAAAGCAAGTTTGATGATGACGGGGCAAATCAACAAGCCTGGGGTTCAATGGATAGCTTTGTTCATAGGGGCAGGGTTTGCAGGGATCACAATAGCTTGGTCTAGGTTTAATTTTTTTTTCCAATGTCCTTTTTTCCTTTTTTTTTAAATGTGGTGATTATTGTATAGTAAGTATAGAGCTCAGAATCGGTCAACTATTTGGCCATGGAAGCCAGCACAGTTCCTTCCCTCACTCGGCTCTTTCTGGGTAGGAGACCCTGGATGAGACGGGGTCAGTAGACATTCTTCTTGCTCTATCTTTATCATTGTCCCTAGATTTAATTGATATTGTCCACAAACCAAGCCCTCTGCTCTGTTTGCAGAAAGACTTCTGCTAGGGACGACAAGAATAATTCCATTCCTAAACGCAGTAGATGTAGACATACAAACTAGATGTTGCACAGATGCCTTCTCTTATGGGCCAACCTGGAATAAGAAGTCTTAGGTTTAGAATAAGGGTTAACAGATTTTAAACAGATTATGGAGAAATTACATTTTTCAAAGAGTTGTAAATTTGTGGTATTCCTTACCCCAGAGTGCAGTGGATATTGAAACACAGATTAAATTTAAGGAGATAGAGACATTTTTAAGTAGTAATGGAGAAGGGGCAGCAATGTGGAGTTGAGGCCAAGTTGACATCAATCACGATCAAACTAAGTGGCAGAGCAAGCTCAAGGGGCTGTACTGCCTACTCCTGCTTCTAGTTCTTACAAATGTTCTTAAACAGCCTTGCAATCAAGCTGTTGAAGGAATTTCTTTTAGATATGGTGACTATTGTGTAGTAATTGTGGAGCTCAGAATCAGTCAACTATTTGACCATGGAAGCCAGCACAGTTCCTTCTCTCAAGAGGCTCCTTCTGGGTAGGGCTCGCTGGATGAAACAGGGTCAATGGATACCGTTCCTGACTTCCTTTATCATTGTCACACCTTGCCCCCCCCCACCCCACTGCGTGTTTCAGGGCTTATTTCCAATTACAATCCCAAGCAGAATAACACTCACCTGCACAGGTAAGCCGTCTACCCGCAATCCACGGCCTCCACTCTCTGCCATCAGTGTGTGGTAGGCACCCTGGTCCAGGGGCACCACCGAGAACCCGAGTGGGCTGCGGATGTACCAGCTGATGGTGTTCATCACTGCCAGTGAGGACATGCAACAAAACCTGTTAGTCACACTCCAGTGGGTCAGAGCATGAGGATTGTTATCATAGAAACAAGAGCAGGCCATTCACATTACTAGAGCAACTTTAAGGTCCTCCAGAGTGGTATCATCAAGCAATCTCTGACCCTGAGCCATCTGATAAAGGGAGAAGGTGACAGAACAGTAAAATCACTGCACTAGTCTCAGAAACACAGTTTCTGGGCTTCTGGGTTCAAATCCCACCACTGGTTTAATTTTAAACTCAATTAAAATGTGAATTGAAAGCCAGCATGAGTAATAGTGACCTGTAACTATCACTGACTGTTGTTAAAAACTCATCTGGTTCACTCATGATCTTTATAGACAGATATCTGCTGTCTTTACCTCAAGTGGCCTACATATGAATCCTGACACAAACTGACCAAAAACAATTTGTTCTGAGGAAGGGTCACCGGACCCGAAACATTAACTCAGATTCTTTTCATCACAGATGCTGCCAGACCTGCTGAGCTTTACCAGCAACTTCTGTCTTTGTTCCTGATTTACAGCATCCACATTTCTTTCAGCTTTTTTTTACAAATTGACCAATAACTGCTCTCAAGGGAACTTTGAACAAAAGCTGGACTCTCAGCAATGTTCTCATCCCAAAACAGTGTAAAGAAAGTCCTTTACCCCCTTGCCTTATGAAATTCTATCAACTTTGGAGTTGACATTTTCATTTGACAATTCCACTTCCAGCACCAATTCACTTGCATTCTTTTGTGAATGATGGGAGAATGTGTAACTAGGGGCCACTGTTTATAAGGGGCCACCCATCAAGGCAGAAGTTAGGTAATATTTTTCTCTTGGAGGGTTGTGAATCTTTAGAACTGCCTTCCTCAAAAGGTGAATTTAAAAATGTTTCCATCAGATAAGTGGAGCTGCAGGACAAAAACCTCAGAATTCAGTTCAATGCAAAATAAATCACTGTTTGCAAATACAATCTGCAATGGCTGTCCAACTTGGAAAGTTAAATCATTCATTCGAGTGAAACGTAGAGTCATAGTCATAGAGTCATACAGCACAGAAACAGACCCTTCAGTCCAACCAGTCTACACTGAGCATAATCCCAAACTAAACTCGTTCCAACTGCCTGCTCCTGACCCATATTCCTCCAAACCTTTCCTATTCATATACTTTTCCAAATGTCTTTTAAACATTGTAATTGTGCCCAATCCACCACTTCTTCAAGATGTTTTTTTCCACACGTGAACTACCCTCTGTGTAAAAAATTTGCCCCTCATGTCTTTTTATAAATCTCTCACCTTAAAAACGTACCTCTAGTCTTGAAATCCCTCATCCTAGGGAAAAGACAACTACCATTAACCCTATCTATTCTCCTTACGGTTTTATAAACTTCTATAAGGTCACCTCTCAACCTCCTACACGCCAGT